TAGATGATGGGAGTCTGGGTGTTGACTTACATGATGGGAGTCTGGGCGTTGACTTACATGATGGGAGTCTGAGCGTTGACTTATATGATGGGAGTCTGGGCGTTGACTTATATGATGGGAGTCTGAGCGTTGACTTATATGATGGGAGTCTGGGCGTTGACTTACATGATGGGAGTCTGGGTGTAGACTTACATGATGGGAGTCTGGGTGTTGACTTACATGATGGGAGTCTGGGCGTTGACTTATATGATGGGAGTCTGAGCGTTGACTTATATGATGGGAGTCTGGGCGTTGACTTACATGATGGGAGTCTCGGCGTTGACTTAGATGATGGGAGTCTGGGTGTTGACTTACATGATGGGAGTCTGGGCGTTGACTTATATGATGGGAGTCTGAGCGTTGACTTATATGATGGGAGTCTGGGCGTTGACTTACATGATGGGAGTCTGGGCGTTGACTTACATGATGGGAGTCTCGGCGTTGACTTAGATGATGGGAGTCTGGGTGTTGACTTACATGATGGGAGTCTGGGCGTTGACTTACATGATGGGAGTCTGAGCGTTGACTTATATGATGGGAGTCTGGGCGTTGACTTACATGATGGGAGTCTGGGCGTTGACTTACATGATGGGAGTCTCGGCGTTGACTTAGATGACGGGAGTCTGGGTGTTGACTTACATGATGGGAGTCTGGGCGTTGACTTATATGATGGGAGTCTGGGCGTTGACTTACATGATGGGAGTCTGGGTGTAGACTTACATGATGGGAGTCTGGGTGTTGACTTACATGATGGGAGTCTGGGCGTTGACTTACATGATGGGAGTCTGGTCGTTGACTTACATGATGGGAGTCTGGGTGTAGACTTACATGATGGGAGTCTGGGCGTTGACTTACATGATGGGAGTCTCGGCGTTGACTTAGATGATGGGAGTCTCGGCGTTGACTTACATGATGGGAGTCTGGGTGTAGACTTACATGATGGGAGTCTGGGTGTAGACTTACATGATGGGAGTCTGGGCGTTGACTTATATGATGGGAGTCTGGGTGTAGACTTACATGATGGGAGTCTGGGCGTTGACTTACATGATAGGAGTCTGGGTGTTGACTTACATGATGGGAGTCTGGGTGTTGACTTATATGATGGGAGTCTGGGCGTTGACTTATATGATGGGAGTCTGGGTGTAGACTTACATGATGGGAGTCTGGTCGTTGACTTACATGATGGGAGTCTGGGTGTAGACTTACATGATGGGAGTCTGGGGGACTTACATGATGGGAGTCTGGGCGTTGACTTATATGATGGGAGTCTGGGCGTTGACTTATATGATGGGAGTCTGGGCGTTGACTTATATGATGGGAGTCTGGGTGTGATGAGGAGTCTGGGTGTTGACTTACATGATGGGAGTCTGGGTGTTGACTTATATGATGGGAGTCTGGGCGTTGACTTATATGATGGGAGTCTGGGTGTAGACTTACATGATGGGAGTCTGGTCGTTGACTTACATGATGGGAGTCTGGGTGTAGACTTACATGATGGGAGTCTGGGTGTTGACTTACATGATGGGAGTCTGGGCGTTGACTTATATGATGGGAGTCTGGGCGTTGACTTATATGATGGGAGTCTGGGCGTTGACTTATATGATGGGAGTCTGGGTGTAGACTTACATGATGGGAGTCTGGGTGTTGACTTATATGATGGGAGTCTGGGTGTAGACTTACATGATGGGAGTCTGGGTGTTGACTTATATGATGGGAGTCTGGGTGTAGACTTACATGATAGGAGTCTGGGTGTTGACTTATATGATGGGAGTCTGGGTGTAGACTTACATGATAGGAGTCTGGGTGTTGACTTATATGATGGGAGTCTGGGCGTTGACTTATATGATGGGAGTCTGGGTGTAGACTTACATGATGGGAGTCTGGGTGTTGACTTATATGATGGGAGTCTGGGTGTAGACTTACATGATGGGAGTCTGGGTGTTGACTTATATGATGGGAGCCTGGGTGTAGACTTACATGATAGGAGTCTGGGTGTTGACTTATATGATGGGAGTCTGGGTGTAGACTTACATGATGGGAGTCTGGGTGTTGACTTATATGATGGGAGTCTGGGCGTTGACTTACATGATGGGAGTCTGGGCGTTGACTTACATGATGGGAATCTGGGCGTTGACTTACATGATGGGAGTCTGGGTGTAACTTACATGATGGGAGTCTGGGCGTTGACTTACATGATAGGAGTCTAGATATTGATATATATGATGGGATTCATGGTATTGATTTATATGGAGTGTTTATTTAGTCTTTAGGGAGTAATGATCGGAGTTTGGGTATTGATTTATATGATGGGAGTCCTGATATTAATTTATATGATAGGAGTCTGTTGATTTATTTGATGGAATTCTGGTTATGGATTTTTCGATGGTAATCTTGAATTTTCATTTATAGTGGGATTCTGGATGTGACTATATGATGGGATACTGAGTAAGGATTTATGTGACTGGAGTCTCGGTTACGTATTTCTGTAATGGGAATCTGGGCAGGGATTGCAGACGACGAGTCACAATAACATGGCTGAAGATATGATGACCAAACCACACAACAGAAGATGGAGAAGCGATGACGTTTCGGACCATTATCAAGTCATAAGACTTGATTTCGAGACAGACCGAAACGTCGTTTTCCATCTAATGCTAACTTGGCAGGGATGTATGTGATTTGAGTCGGTAAGGATTTATGTGATGGGAATCTGGGTAGAGATTCATGTTATGGGAGTCTGGGGAAGTGATGAATGTGATGGGAGTCTGGGTAGGGATGAATGTGATGGGAGTCTGGGTAGGGATGAATGTGATGGGAGTCTGGGTAGGGATGTGTGTGATGGGAATCTGGGTAGGGATGAATGTGATGGGAGTCTGGGTAGGGATGAATGTGATGGGAGTCTGGGTAGGGATGAATGTGATGGGAGTCTGGGTAGGGATGAATGTGATTGGAGTCTGGGTAGGGATGAATGTGATGGGAGTCTGGGTAGGGATGAATGTGATGGGAGTCTGGGTAGGGATGAATGTGATTGGAGTCTGGGTAGGGATGAATGTGATGGGAGTCTGGGTAGGGATGAATGTGATGGGAGTCTGGGTAGGGATGAATGTGATGGGAGTCTGGGTAGGGATGAATGTGATAAAGAGTCTGGGTAGGGATGAATGGGATGGGAGTCTGGGTAGGGATGAATGTGATAAAGAGTCTGGGTAGGGATGAATGGGATGGGAGTCTGGGTAGGGATCTGTGATGGGAATCTGGGTAGGGATGAATGTGATGGGAATCTGGGCAGGGATGTGTGATGGAAGTCTGGATAGGGATATGTGATAGAAGTCTGGATAGGGATATGTGATGGGAGTCTGGGTTGGGATGTGTGTAATGGGAGTCATGGTAGGGATGAATGTGATGGGAGTCTGGGTTGGGATGTGTGTGATGGGAGTCTGGGTTGGGATGTGTGTGATGGGAGTCTGGGTAGGGATGTGTGTGATGGGATTCTGGGTAAGGATGAATGTGAAGGGAGTCTGGGTAGGGATGTGTGATGGGAGTCTGGGTAGGGATGTGTGATGAAAGTCTGGGTAGGGATGTGTGTGATGGGAGTCTGGATAGGGATGTGTGTGATGGAGTCTAGGTAAGGATGTGTGTGATGGGAGTCTGGGTAGGGATGAATGTGATGGGAGTCTGGGTAGGGATGAATGTGATGGAAGTCTGGGGTAGGGATGTGTGTGATGGGAGTCTGGGTAGGGATGTGTGATGGGAGTCTGGGTAGGGATGTGTGGTGGGTGTGGTGTGGTTAAAAGATTATTTCCCTGATCTGTTCAATCTTAGTTCAAATAATATTTGGTTTGTAATTGAACTGCGTTAGATAATGTTCCTGTGGTTTCTCAGTCATTTATCCAGTGCTGACTGACATTTCCTCTCTTCTTCTGGACCCTGTAAGCCGATTTCCCTCGCCTCCTTTTATTATATCTTTTATTGTGAATTATTACAATAATTCTTGTGAATTATATCTCTAGTGTTAAAAAAGTTTAATCCATTATACTTTATTATCTAAAGAACGTTATTAGTCTATTTTCTGAAAATGAGAGGTAATTTAAAATCATTAAATACTTAATAGAATAATGCTGGTAAAATATTCTTGCCAATTCAGGTACTGGATTCATTATGTTCCTCTATAACAGATCCAAAACTAACAACTGGATGGATTTATTGTGCATAGTAAGACAATAAATTAACATAGTCTAGTTAACTAATGTGCAACAGTTTCCTAAGAGGTCGCAAACAGCTGTCAAACTTGTTATTCATACGAACTAACATTAACAGGGCAAGAATAAACTATTTTAAACGTGCATTCATCAATATTTTCTAAGGTGTTCATTGTGTTATTCAGACGGACGTTCGAACCGGTAGGTTATTCAGCGCAAAACATTGAAGTATATATAAAAATTAAGGATAAATAACATAATAATATATACAAGAAAACAGCTGGTCTACTTTGCCAAGGTTGGGCAAATAATACATATAGGATTAGCTGCTAGTGTATCGTCATACTTTGATATGATACGTAATAATATTAATTGTGTATGTTTATTGCTCTAGTTGAAGATGTGTTGTCAGAAACCGCCTTCCAATGATAAATATTTAGTCAAAAGTTCTGGCTTTTATTTTTAAGACATTTATTAATTTTCCTCGACTTCTATTAGATTACTGAAAACCAAGTACTGTAGTTTCTGTAACTTGGTTACATACACTTTATTTATGAGGGAATAATACTGTACGAATCTTAAGAAAATTGAGGTTTTCGAAGACGCTTTATACTTTTTCTTTTAAAGTTGAAAATCTTTACAAACGTTACGCTGCATAGCTGATAAGTCGACAATAACATGACAGTTCAGGAGTCTTTGTCTTGGAATCGATTAAGTTTAAACTACCTTAAACCTGTGTTTCTAAGACTTGACGTTTTTCCTCAGATTCGCAGCTGTGGCAAGATCTTGGAAGACTTCGAGAAGCATGACTTTGATTGTGCTTCCTTGGGAGGAATGAAAACTGTTTATAAGATGTTTCACTCAGCACTCAACGAGATAGAAAGTTTGTATTATATATTTAACGTTTAATTGTAGTTGATTCTTAATAATAATTTAACATTCATTATGCTGACAACTAATCTATAACAAGAGTGTTATATTGAGAATTTTACATAAAGTAACGGTATAGTGTTCCAGTTGCTCAAAACAATAGTATTGCATTTTTTTAATTATTTATTTCTATAGAGAATTTGTTTCCAAACTGGAAGCCATGGCCCCTCCCCGGGTGCCCTTTTTGCAATATGTAGGGGGGCATAGGTTGAGGCAGTGTACAGGTTATGATACCAGAGGATACCATAGGGGACCTGTACTGAGTGTTGGGGCATAAGTTGAGGCATTGTAGAGGTTATGATACCGGAGGATACCAGTGAGGGCCTGTACTGATTATAGGGTTCATAATTTGAGGCAGTGTACTGGTTATGATACCAGAGGATACCTGAGGGCACCTGTACTGATTGTAGGAGGCATAAGTTGAGGCAGTGTACAGGTTATGATACCAGAGGATACCAGAAGGGACCTGTACTGAGGAGTGTAGGGGGCATATGTTGAGGCAGTGTACAGGTTATGATACCAGAGAGGACCTGTACTGAGTGTAGGGGGCCACTAATAAATGCAATATATGTAAAACTAGTAATGACCGTAAAGAGTTTGGGAACCATTGTTCTAAAAAATATACAATTGCAGGAATAATCATAGTTTAGTATTTGTTGTTTTGAAGAGAAATCTACACGTAATCTTTTGGCGTGGAGAACTTAACTCGTTAGTTTTACCATTACGTGTTTACTTACAGAAAAATGTACACTCAAGGATGAAGGCCAAGAACTGGTTTCCTGTACAGAGAAGAAGAGTACAGATGAGAGCACACTCAAGGATGAAGGCCAAGAGCTGGTTTCCAGTGCAGAGAAGAAGAGTACAGCTGAGAGCACACTTAGGTATGAAGGCCAAGAACTGGTTTCCTATACAGAGAAGAGTACAGATGAGAGCACACTCATGGATGAAGGCCAAGAACTGGTTGCCTGTACAGAGAAGAATACAGACGAGAGCACACTCAAGGATGAAGGCCAAGAACTGGTTTCCTGTACAGAGAAGAAGAGTACAGATGAGAGCACACTCAGGTATGAAGGCCAAGAACTGGTTGCCTGTACAGAGAAGAGTACAGAAGAGATTGTAGAGACAACCACAGATAAGAGTACAGTTAAGAGTGTGGCCACGTAAGTATAACTTTGTTTTTAATAATTAACCTTTTAGTTACACTCATAGTATGCGACTGTGGCTTACAGTAGGAAGGCAAGGAATATTTATCTGACATCTGTTGAAAGGTCACAAGTATGTAATTGGTGAAGCATCGTTCATTTAGGCTGCTGCAGCTTCGTGTATAACTAATATTTATTGATAACTTTTACGATGCTGCAGAAGTAAATAATATTTATTGAAAATACTGTATTTACACTGCTTCAGCCTCATGTGTAGCTAGTATTTGTTGATAAAATTTATGCTGCTGCAGCATAAATTTAGAAAAGTATATGGGGAAAGTATACATGGCAGTTACCAGCCATGTATACTTTCCCCATAACCTTGTCCTGAAGTTACCAGCCATGTATACTTTCCCCACAATTAACCTTGTCCTAAAGTTACCAGCCATGTATACTTTCCCCATAATTAACCTTGTCCTGAAGTTACCAGCCATGTATACTTTCCCCATAATTAACCTTGTCCTGAAGTTACCAGCAATGTATACGTTCCTCATAACTATGTCCTGAAGTTACCAGCCATGTATACTTTCCCTATAACTTTGTCCTGAAGTTACAGCCATGTATACTTTTCCCATAACCTTGTCCTGAAGTTACCAGCCATGTATACTTTCCCCATAACCTTGTCCTGAAGTTACCAGCCATGTATACTTTCCCCATAACCTTGTCCTGAAGTTACCAGCCATGTATACTTTCCCCATAACCTTGTCCTGAAGTTACCAGCCATGTATACTTTCCCCATAACCTTGTCCTGAAGTTACCAGCCATGTATACTTTCCCCATAACCTTGTCCTGAAGTTACCAGCCATGTATACTTTCCCCATAACCTTGTCCTGAAGTTACCAGCCATGTATACTTTCCCCATAACCTTGTCCTGAAGTTACCAGCCATGTATACTTTCCCCATAACCTTGTCCTGAAGTTACCAGCCATGTATACTTTCCCCATAACATTGCTCTGAACTTAGCAGCCATGTCAAATGCACCGAGTAATCCATCCATCGCAGAGCACTTGAAATTAAACTTCCATTTTGAAAAAATCTGTCATTATGACGAGTATTATTTAATCACATCAATTGACTCTTCCGGATATATAGTAAATGTACATACTGATTGTTCCATGCTACCTGCTAATGTTAATGTTTAGGTTTTCAAATATAATTGTATTAAAAATGTTGTAACCTCAATACTGAAATTCCAAAAGTCTTATAAGATTTAGATAAACAATCGAAATATTCTCAAGAAAATAGTCAAAGAAAGGCCAAGAGATAGTCCAAGAAAGCGTTACTTATCTGTTAATTATATTTCTGTTGGTGATCCGTCAATACGCGTCAAGTAAACAAATCTAGTCATTGGGATATGCAACATTTCTTTCATTACCGTGTTGCCAATGATCTAATTGACTTTCATCATGGTAGTTAATCTTAGGAACAGCCTCCATCATAGTCGTCATTCTTTACAACAAACTCCATCGTTGTAGTTAAGCTTAGGATTATCCCCCATCATGGTATTCAGTCTCAGGAACAGCTCTCATTAAAAGTATCAGTACCACTAAGGAACTATGAAGCTCCTCACTGACGAAATATGGAATTATGAAGCCTCTAAATACCTTTCCTAATTCCATTTCCTGTAAAAGTATTCGTAAAATATAGAGTTGGTTGTCATGTATTGACAATCTAAACAAAATATAATTGTAGCTTCCGGTACTGAAGGACTGTATGCCAGACCATATGATGCACTGCAGCCTTAATGTTCCTCAATGGTTAGTGTTTGGGATATTCTCATAACGAGAGACATCACTTAATGACATCACTATTATAATTAAGTAAACTATTTGTATGTACAATTCAGAAGTTCATATTCTGATAAATAATGTCTTAACAAATATTTTTCTACATTGCAGTGAGCAAAAAAAGAAGATTGAGAAACAGAAGAAAGAGGTAAGTAAATATCAATTAGAATGTTTTTCTTTCTACATTTCTGACCAAATTTACACACTGTTTTCAAACATAAAATATATTCTATCCAACTTAAAGTTTTTGATAACTGATATTACACAATCGGTTCCTCAGTTTTGAGTAAATATTGGGCAGAACACTAGCTTCATTCTAGATTGTCAAACCCCACTCCCATCTTGGTACTATATACCGCGAAGAGACGATAGGCAATCTCCAGTGATGCGGTAGTCATAGAGATTCACCATCATCATGATCTACCACATCAAGGTCCGGTTTCGGGGGGAAACCAGATTCACCGGGCCCCAACTACTTAAGATAATTGTCTACATACCTGGTTGATACCTGGGTGATGGGGTTCTGGGAGTTCTTCTACTCCCCAAGCCCGGCCCGAGGCCAGGCTCGACTTGTGAGAGTTTGGTCCACCAGGCTGTTGCTTGGAGCGGCCCGCAGGGCCACGTACCCACCACAGCCCGGCTGATCCGGAACTTCTCTTAGAAAACCGTCCAGTTTTCTCTTGAAGATGTCCACGGTTGTTCCGGCAATATTTCTTATGCTCGCTGGGAGGACGTTGAACAACCGCGGACCTCTGATGTTTATACAGTGCTCTCTGATTGTGCCTATGGCACCTCTGCTCTTCACAGGTTCAATCTTGCATTTTCTTCCATATCGTTCACTCCAGTACGTTGTTATTTTACTGTGTAGATTTGGGACCTGACCCTCCAGTATTTTGCATGTGTATATTATTTGGTATCTCTCTCGTCTCCTTTCTAGAGAGTACATTTGGAGAGCTTTGAGACGATCCCAATAATTTAGGTGTTTTATCGCGTCTATGCGTGCCGTATATGTTCTCTGTATTCCCTCTATTTCAGCAATCTCTCCTGCTCTGAAGGGTGAAGTGAGTACTGAGCAGTACTCGAGACGGGACAACACAAGTGACTTGAAGAGTACAACCATTGTGATGGGATCCCTGGATTTGAAAGTTCTCGTAATCCATCCGATCATTTTTCTGGCTGACGCGATATTTGCTTGGTTATGCTCCCTAAACGTTAGATCGTCGGACATCATTATTCCCAATCCTTGACATGCTGTTTTTCTACTATGGGAAGATTCGATTGTGTTTTGTACCCTGTATTATGTTTCAGATCCTCATTTTTGCCGTACCTGAGTACCTGAAATTTATCACTGTTAAACATCATGTTATTTTCTGCTGCCCAATCAAAAACTTTGTTGACATCTGCTTGTAGTTTTTCAATGTCTTCAGCAGAGGTAATTTTCATGCTGATTTTTGTGTCATCTGCTAAGGACGACACGAAGCTGTGGCGTGTATTTTTGTCTATATCAGATATGAGAATAAGGAACAGTAGCGGTGCAAGGACTGTACCTTGAGGTACAGAGCTTTTAACATCGCTTGGACTCGATTTTATCTGATTGACTGTTACTCTTTGTGTTCTGTTCGACAGGAAATTGAGTATCCAGCGTCCTACTTTTCCAGTTATTCCCATTGACCTCATTTTGTGAGCTATCACCCCATGGTCACATTTGTCGAACGCCTTTGCAAAGTCTGTGTATACAACATCTCCATTTAACATCCGAGACGATGCTGACGGCGCTGTACTTCTATATTCAAGTGAGGAAACTCTGGAGCAATTGTTTGCACCAGGACGCCCTTCTCAACTAACCTCACCATCATTCCTACCCGACGCTACCTGGCTGAACGAACCATCATCAGCCACACCAGTGTCTACATCTCCACCCAGGACCCTGACACCATACTGACGAGCATCAACGCTAGGAACTCTGCTCTGACTGCAGTTATAGTCAAAATCATCAAGAACGACGACAGCCCACGGCCTACCCTTAAGGTTACATTCTCAACAGGTGCAGCTGCGACCCAAGCAGTGGAAAATGGATTCAGATGCTTGGATATATCCATTACACTTGACACTGTCAAGAAGGAACGTTACTAAATCATACGCCAATGCTTCAACTGTTTCAAGAATGATCACGACATTAAGAACTGTCCACAAGCAGAAGCAAAGTGCAACATCTGCACTGAAAACCACAATTTTAAAAACTGTCCATCGCTAACCAAAAAGTGCCTCAACTGTGGGGAAGCACATACCTATGTGTCTATGGACTGCCCCATAAGACTGGCAGAAATTAAGAAATTGGCAACCGCCACACCATCCACCAATCAGCCTGCGAGTTTCAAAATCCAGGCATCGATGTTCCCTGTGCTAACAAACTCATCTGCTATACAGACGTCCACACCAGGCCAGCCCCCCCCCCCCATCCTCACTGGGAACCCAACACAGGCGACTGCAGTTCAGCCAGCCAACTCACCAGTCAACCAATCAGCGGCCTCGGCCACCACACTCATCCCAGTCCTGATCAGTGTAGCTGAGAAGATGGCAGGGACAGACGTCGACAAATACGTTAGAGTACTGAACGTGCTGCTTGCCCAGAACAACCTACCTACGATGTCGATCCCAGCGGACCTACTTCAGCCTCAAAACACTGCTTCAACCGAACCAAATCAGTTCAAAGCATCACCAGTGACACCCACGGAAATGGAGTCACACCAGCACCTCAGGCTACAGCAGACGATCAAGCTGCGGAAACCGTAACTCCCTCCCCTGGCTTGCCGAAGAAAAAACAGAGACTAGGGATCCCCTTCAACCAAACTACAGTTAACCCTCGTAAAAAATCAGCTGTCATGGACGAGGCTACACAACAACTTAGCTGCTGTAAAAGACCTTGACCCAGCAGACACAAACACCGAGGAAGAAGAAGTCGAAGTCATCGAAGTCAACCCAGAAAATCGTTCTGAGTACGGCTCCAACCCAAGCTCCTGTTTTGCAATCTTTATCTTAGACAGGAAGTTTAAGGGTAACCCCACCACAAGACGAGAGTTGGCCATCAAATGCAACAGGATATACACACTCAGGAACCCAGACAAATTCCCCTACCCAATGGTAGTTTACAGCACCCTTATGACCGCTATGTGGACCTTGACAACCAAGACAGAAAGTACTGCAACCCAAACTACAAAATACGACTGGATATCACCATCATATGTCCAAAAAAAGAAGACCCGGAAGGAACCCCATTGCCAAAGCTTAAATGCGGGTGAATTAAATGAACCTTCCCTGATGCATGAAGATGATACCCCAGGCCTAAGAACACCTCAGCATTGAAGACGCCGCCTCCTAGCTAGACAGAACACCTCAACTGAACCAGGACAACATCTAACCGTCTCTCCACCAGCCTCCTGCCGCTTAAGAAGAACTCAGCCACAAGCTTCGACCGAAAAAACATCTCCAATCCACGGTGGAAAGGCCACTGAACTTTCAAGCCTTCTCTCTCTACATCCAAATCCTCTTCCAAGAATTTCAACACACCATCTTTCTTCCTCCCACCACCCTTGCCAAGATATTTGGTATAAAAAGCTAAGGTTCCTCAGTTCCTGCATATTCTCCAGACATATTTATTTTTTCTTTATCCATTCATTAGGAATTCCTGTTATGAGCTACAGGAGGGGTTACTAATCATTGGCCAGGTTTGACCTTTTTGTTTTTCCCTCCCTCATTCTATCT